TCGTTATTATAATATTTTTGTGATAATAATAATTATTATTGTCCGCCAAAACGTTTACGCGAACAGTACTACGGGCGGCTATATTATTATTATTATTGTTATATTATACGATGGACGTCAGCGAGGCGTTCACGCCAAAAATCCACCAGGACGAGCACATCCTTAATCCGTTGCCCCGCTGCACCGAACATTATGTCTTTGCCATCGCCGTAAATCCATTTCGGTATTTTATTGCTAGACACGACAACAGCGTTTGTGCACACCCTAAACTCGAAAACGTCGTAAAAAAACAAAACGCGTGCATTGTTCTCTAGTCCCCGGCCGCGGTTATTTTTTTTACCGTCCTCCCCTTCGGCGTTATATTATCAGAGACCCGTCACACGGATGCGTGCACGTTTGCCCGGTTCAAACATAGGTATGCCCGGTCGACCGGTGGTTTTAACGAAAAATATTTCGAGCTCACGAATTATAAAACACACCGGACGACACAATAAACGCGTAAACGAAAACGAACCGGAAAAAAATTACGCGTTCGTTTGTGCGGCTCTGTGTAACGGCCGCACCTGCGAGTGACGGGCAGACATCTCTGAAACCAACCCCCCCGCAGGGGAGGTGCGACCGAACTACCGGCAGAGTGTCAAGAACACGAAACACAGTGGAAGGGTCGTCGGGGACTCGACCGCCGTAGTATTATTATTTACAACGAGCCGCAACAACAACAACGACGACGACATTAATGACACTGTAGTAATATTATTATATCGTCATAATAATAGCGGCGTATGTGCGAAGGGTTCGTAACATGCGTATTACACGTCGGGAGCGCGTAGAACCGAAAAGGGGATGGTCACACCCCGTGAAATAAAAAACCGCACGAATCCTAATCCCTAATAGGGGGGGGGGGACTTACTGTGATCGCAGTGCGTAATGACGATAATAAAATACTATACAGTCGTCACGTTTGCCCTCTTCGCCGCAAACGAGGGCGCCACTCGGGCGATAAAACTGCAGAGGGTGTGTCTGGATCGGGATTTCGGTGGTTGACGATGACGAAACGACGAGCACACGATATGGACGGCGCGTGGAGGTAACAGCTGGGCACATTAATGTATACCAGCATTTATACCAATAACTGTTACCTAGGTACGCTGTACATAGGCATCTAGTGAGAAAAAAAATGTTACGCCTTCGCAGTTTTCATCAGCCATCGAAATATGTCGGATATTATACATTTTTTTATCTGCGCTGTAAATAAAAAATACCCCCGAGAAATCGCGGTCATCTATTTTTGTTTTAAAAATATCAGTAATGTCGGTCATCATAATTATTATTTACTCTCGCCTGTGCAACAACAACAACAACAACAACAACAACAATATTATACTATATTATCATATCGTATAAAATTATTCATTAAACGCCATCGTTCGTGGTGACGCGGCGGTTATTGGGATTTTTTCAGGGGTGGAAATCAAAATGATCGAATTATGGAATAATTGATACAAATTAGACAATAAAGACACCATCGCGTCGCGAATAATATTGTGTATCGTTTACACTCTAGGTCTCTATGGAATCCTCCTCTAGTAAAAAAAAAAAACTGTTCTCGACATTAAATACAACACACTTAATATTCAAATAAACAAAACATTTTCCCATACTAATAAATATTTTAGTTTTTAACTTATTCTCAAGTACCAGCTAATCTGTTGCTAATCACTAACTAATTATATTTACTAACATAATCAACTTAAAGGTTATGTGATTTATCAAATTAAAATTATGGGCATATCGTCTACCAAACTATTAAGTATTTACATTTAATCGATAATTATTGGGTTATAATAACAGTTGATAAACATTTATTTTTCGCCGAAAAAACTAAAAAAATTTCAAAATAAATATTTTAACGAACAAATCACCATACTACCTCCATTTTATAGTAAATGAAGGACTAGAAATAATCCCAAGAAATTAATGAATGAAACAAAATGATTTAAACATATTGCATTCTTACATTTTTTTTTTAATTATTGCGTAAAACCTGCAGCACTTTTAAAAAAAGGCGATCCTGTACTGTACATGACATTTGAGCAGCCAGTTATAATTATTGTATCCATGTTGTTCGATAAAAGTAATCAGCAAAGATATAGATTTTTATGTAAAAGTATACTATTATGAAATTACTAATTTAATTATAATTAAAAAATATGTTGACGTATTGTAATACCTACGATTCTGTAATCTATCTTTTTTTCATATTTTTTACACACTCGAATAAAAATTAATAAAAGTTTTAAATTTCTGGATAATTGAATAAAAGCTGAATATTTTATAAATGTTAAACGACAAAATTAAATTTTCGCTCAAACTTCGATTCTGTTCTTGATTGTCATGGGCAGATAACCGAATGATCAGCTGGATAAACGTTGAATTTTTTGAATACTCAATACACTTATGATTTATACTAAGTTTATAATTAATGCGTTTTTAATTTTGCAAATTAATAAAAACAATTAAAAATACCTTACACATTTTATATTACATTTTTGAAAGCTCTAATCCGTATTTAAATAATTATTAGTGTGAATAAACATATTATAATGCGTGTAATACAATTTAGATGTATGTTGTTTAGAAACTTTGGAAATTGTGTGTGCTCATGGTTATTTTATAGAATATTGTTTGACTGCAAATCTGGGACCTGTATAATATTAATCACTTTGAATAGACCATAAAATTATGCGAACTAAATTAATAATATTATAACCCAATTAGTAGATAGGTAGGTAGGTAGTTTTTTGGGACCCACGGACTATAATGTTTCAGTGTCTATGGTGTATGAAGTATAGTCAGTGCAGGCAGGCAAGTAGATAGATTGGTAGGTACGCGAGTACCTATATACACAGAGAAATGTTATTAGTGTTAATAGAAAGAAACGTCGAAATATGAAATCAACTCATTATAATATTTAAGACGTAACCGAGTTTTGTTCAAATAGAATCTTTTTTTTTATTTTAATGTGCGCCGCTCATCCGGGAACTACCGACGTCGGCCGATGCTTGAACTCGGAACACATTTGTTGTGACCGAGGCCAACCACCGAGCCACACCGATTATTATAATAAATGAATATTATTATGTTTGGTAAGTCGTGTGATACACGTCATATTATTAATATGGAAAAAAAAAAATATTACGTAAGTACTAATAAATAAAAATGTATTTTCTTTCTGTTACATTCTGTACATATTATTATGAGCTGATCGCATAGTGTGCCTACGCGTAATTTACGACACATAATATTATAACATATGTAATATGATATAATTTTCCATGCAACTCAAACACACATAAAACACAATAATATTATAACAACTTGCACAAATCAATAACATAATAATTATAATAGTATCGTCGTACTGAATCCATCGAAAACCGTCAATACAATAAAAATATTATGTCATAATCATTACTCTACGACATACGGAACACACGCTGAAGTTGTATTATATTATTATAAAATTATGTATAACAACAATAATGGCAATGGCAGTAATAAAGTAAGAATAATAATTATAAAAAAAAAAAAAAAATGTAAAATAATGTAATAGCTGTAGATGTCCGTTTGGTTCGTTGAAGTCAAACTTTCCATTTTTGACCAAAACGAACCACACGACCGTGTTGCCCTGATTGGGCCCGGGTGGGTGATGAGGGGGGGGAATACTATATACGTCAAGTCATATTATAGTATTGTTGATTGGGTGATGTCTGTACTGTTCGGTGTAGTTAGGTCGGAAAAGCGCAATGTGTACCTTACGCGCGGGGTACAAGTACACTGGATTTTCGATAAACCGTTTCATGTACACTCGGTTTCGACGTCGGTCCAGAGTCGTGATCTCCAGGGGGGAGGGTGTCATATCCCTTTTATGGCTTGTTTTTGTCTCGTAAAATGTATCATGATAATTATTGATAAAGCCGAACACTCCACTGCGGTGGTCGGTAGTGATAACAAAATCAATCAATATTATATTTTAGCATCGCCAACGGAAACAATTTGTAGTAAGCGAATAAAGAACAAAGTGTGCGGTTGTATAAAAGTGGAAATGTGTGTGTAAGGTGTACCTATCTATGCGTAGTACACAAGCGAGCGTTTTGACGGCGCCGGCCAGTCTACGATTTTTATTAATTATGGCACGCGTGTGTCATAGATTTTGTAAAATAATATAGTGCTCGGGTCGTTCGTGTACGAATCGTGTTATTATCGTAAAACAATATTGTATTTATACGCGATACGCGATACCCGATATACGATTTTTTCCGGAAAGAAGGAGAGGGGTCGCGTGTTTTTGAGGAGCGAGTGAGCGGGGGTGGGTGATGGCAAGCACGGGCTGTTATGTTTAATCAAGTCGAAAAACTTTTCGCCCCCTGAGCTGACCACCACCAACAGCGCCCATCACACGACCGTCCCCGAACTCTTCGGTCCCGGCCCATCGCCGTAATTTTGGTTTTTGGATTTTTTAAAATTTAATGATTTATTTGTTTTTTTTTCGCGCTTTTTGATTGATCCTAAGTAAACGTCTGGCCATCCTAAAGCCAGCCGCGGGGGAGCAAAGTCAATACCGTCCGAAATTCAATCCCATCCCTTTAAATTGCGGGCTAACGGTTCACGCGTATGCGCGTCGATTGTCTCTCTACCGAAATTTCACTATATTATGTACACCCCCCGATTTGGGGGGTACACACGTGTGCGCTCGCACTCTTGCATACAAATAGACGACAAACGTTTGTGTGTTTTCCCGACCTCGCGCGATTCCGTTCCGCTCGTTTGGCGGTCGTCAAGTGTGGTGAACGTGTAAATGTGTAATGCAATATTATCATGATATAAGTGTACGGGTGTGTGTGTGTGTGTGTGTGTGTGTATGTGTGTGTGTGTGTGTCGTCACGTTGAACGAACGAAATTATTGTTATTATTATTTTTTTTTTTCGTTTGAAACTTACCGCCTTTGGAGTCCTCCGACTCGATGGGTTGCTTCAGTGCCGTGATGTCCCTGAACGTGAGCAGGAACAACACCACGAGATCCCTCTCGTTCTTGATCGGAGCTATTTGCATCAGCAGCCATAACGGTGTCTCTAACAAATATCATTGAAAAACGGTTATATGTGGTCGCAGGCGGTAAGTGGTTTTCGTGACGTCCGGCGTGACCAAAAGCGTGTTCGCCTGCTCCCTTTACGACAATTTACTGTAGCATAATATTATAACAATTTCATCTCAATTATAATATTATAAAATTGTCGTCTTATCCACCAAAGTCAGCGGTTCCTAACCTTTTTTCTATTAACCTACCCGTAAGCTTAATACTTTGCTACAGTGTACCCCCCCCCCTCATTATAACTTTTAAACTTTCTTCACATAATTACCCTTAAAAAGTTTAAATGAAAACCAATAACAATAATAGAATATAATGGGAAAATGCATAATATATAATGTATTTATGTTTTGTAATAAAACACAAGAAAAAAATTAATGTATCATTTTACTTAATTAATGAGTAAACAAATCGTAATTTAAAATGTATGTGTTATCCTTGCCTTTGACGAGATTAACATATATTCCCCCATTACACGATTTTTTCCAGGTTGGGAACCACTGCACTACGATATTATTGTCTCGCAAAATATTATGCGATCAGCATTACGACATCATTCTGCGAAACTCTAAATCGGAATGACAAACAGTACTTTTGGCCACGTCGACGTGTTCTTTTTTTCTTTATACAACAATATGTTTTTGATATTGTAACAAGTATTTTCAACAGGAAAAAGCTACCGAAAAATGTCGGATACGGTGTATCCGACCGACGTAAATATAAGTGTCTACTTATTGGCAAAGTCAATTATAATTATAATATTGTTTATTTCAACTTACATCTAATTATATACCCAGCCCTAATTAGGCCGTCTGAAGGCTGTTTCATATAACGGCCAATCGTTACGCGTTTAATAATATTTATAACAATATAACAGCATTACACATGAGTCCGAAAAATCTCCACGAATTTGTCACTCTGTCGATATTATAGTAGCTGGTAAAATTGCATTGAATACAAAGTATTCATCGCAATCGAATCATTAGAGTCCATAACAGTTTGGTTAGGTCGTGTTACTATATAAATAATAATAATATGACATAGCCTCAGCCGCATCTATTTTACACGAACGATCCCTTTCTCGTCGTCGTCTCTGACAAATCCGAGGAAATTTTTCAGACGACTCAAGCGCAATGATAATTATACATACGTAGAAGCGTTTCTAATATAATATATTATTATGTTTACTCCATACACTTGTACTTATATGTATATATAACTGTCGAGGTGTAAGAAGCGGTTTAAAAGCTCTATAAAGTAAGTATTCTGTTTCGTATAATATATAATATGTAATAGTAAAATAATAATAATTAAAATGGAATAACTACGGTCTTCACGTGAGAAACATAACCCACTCACCAAGCGACAATTTATAACGGTGGTGGTTTTTAATCAAGAACAATGATAATAATAATAATAATAATATTAATAATAATAGCGATTATAGTATCAAAAATAGTAATAAGAGATACCGTCGAGCTATTATTAAATATTATAATATTATTATTTTCGTTATTCGCTTACATCCGGCCATTGGTGGCGGCCCACGCATTTAAATACAAGCGGTTAATATTGTTAAATTCTCTAAAAATATAACGAAAAAATAAAAATAATAAATTTGGAATGATAATAATATAAATAATAAAAATATGCAATGTACACTTTAAGATATTATACAGAACAATTGAACAAACATGTCCATGCCCTGTTATCCTTTATTAATGAATTTTTTTAATTTCTGATTTTTAGAATAAACAATACAATATGCTTAAAACCCATATTTTGAAATTATTTTTATTTTTATGCCATTTATTTAGTACCTTGTGAAGTTTAACAACTCTTTTTTACTGGCAATAAATTATTAATCAGGTGTTTTTTTTTTTTTTGAAAATGTTGACGCTTCTTAATCGAAATTCGAAAGTAGTTTCTTAGTTACTAAACTTTATGTACCTACTAAAAGATAACAGTCCTTAATAATGTTTTTACATAAAATAAAAGATATGAGTATATTTTGTGTTATAATATGGTCTTGTATTTTTTTTACTTGGACAATTTTATCAAGCTTTAGTAAATATAAATTTAATATTACTTAAGTACCTTCTGTAATACTAAAACCCGCATATTCCCAATGTATTTTCATAACTTTTGAGCCTATTATCGTGGACTTTCTTTTACACTCAAAGACTTTTATCTGGATTTGCGTTTGATGTACATCAGACATTTTCAAAAAATGAATCTCTTCAATAATTTTCGATGAAAAGGGTAGTTATAAATTGAAAAAAAAACATTTACTGCCAGGTAGATCACTTTTCAAATCGAATGTAAATATGCAAATATTTGAAAATATGATTTTAAAGCAAACTAAAAAATTCATTTAATCAGTATTTGAATAAATTGATTATTAAAGGGGAAAATGGGGTAGACATGCCTGGTTAATCGCTCTGTATATTTAAATATAAAATTATGGTTTAAATATCCACCTAATCAAAATAATAATAATATACGATCTTAGACCCTAGGCTACTATAGCTTTTTGAACGTATATATACGGACCTACATATAATAGTTATATAATATACATTTATATGTACAATTGCGTTGTTCGACCGCATTGTACGTTGTCATTACATTTGTCGGCGTGCTTGGCTTTACAGGTACGCATGAATGAAAATAATAAACAAACAAAAAAACAAACAAAAGAAAAACAATAATAATAATAATATAATAATTTAATGACAATATAATATTATATAAGCCATAACGATAACATACATTTTGCACATTTATTGCAGTGCGATAACTTTTACAGGAAAAAACAAATTTCTCTACCAAATGCATGGATTAGCTGATATTGCCACATTGGATTGAAAAAAAACAGTTTCTAGAAAATCTACGGAATAATGCACATGTATAGGAACTTGTAAAATACTCTCTCAGAACTCTAATGTGCAGTATGAGTTGTATTATTAAACATCCCGGTAGGCATAATAATTTGCCAGTCAATATTTTGACCTCGCAATTAATTATTAGTGCTCTAAAATCAGAACCGATTGAATCACTAACACGTTTATTTGACTTTTTCAACTTATTGACATGTTGATGATTGAGCGTTTTGTGAAGTTCAAATTACATTAAAAATTGTCCAGCTCAAATATTTTTGTCAAAAATATAAATTGATGTTTAAAAAATCAAAGCATTACTAGGAGAATAAATAGTTTTAAACTTTAGAAATTATGAACGTGTAGGTCTTTATTACAGTATATTAACCCATCGTTGGACAAAAGAGTCCAGATTCAATCCAACCTAATTCAGCCGAAATATGCAGATTTCGCTGAAAGAAATTATCACACTCTACATTATTATTTTATATTATATTACAACACAAAATAACAATAAATAAAAAAATATGGAATATATGTGTATTATATTGTCATCGTGCATACAATTTTGTTAAAACAATCGGCTACGAGGTGTAGTTCAAAATGGCGTCCGCCTGTGGCTTCTGAGGGTGTTTTTAAATTAAAAGCGAATAAACATATTATTCTCGCGGGTTTCTATATATATGTACCTATATATATATATAATGACAAATCGCTAAATTAATTACGCCGGGGGCTTATCGCAAATACTGAGCAAGAAAATATATTATGTATAGGAATATTGTATATACATTAAAAAAAAATAATAATAAAATTAAAATAATAAAAAAAAAAAAAAATTAAATAAAAGAAATGATTAAACCGTTCATTCTACGGTACCTGCTTGGTCTTTAAGCCAACATACCTTCTGGCAGATCTGGGTTGGTACATATTTAAAACAAATAATAACTTCTGTTAATTTTTTAGCTGATACTAGAAAATCGTTGCTTTTCATATTATTATACAATGCAACGACAATGACACAAAAAAATACATTATATTATTATATTATTATGATATAGATACAACAAATAACACACACATATATTATAATACAATTAACAGCGTAGATGACGATATTCGGTAGGTATTATGTTTAATAATAATTCTATGTGACGCTCATGTGCATGTGAGCATATGCTACGAATTATTATTTTATGTCGGTTCTATGTGCATTTATAGAGAGTATTATATTTAATATAAATAATTAAATATTTTTTTTTTTATAAATAGTAGACTGCGGGGAATCCGACGAAAATTCTGCATCCGACCGTAAATAATATTATACGCTCTGCATACCGGTGGCGTATTTGGGATTTTTGAAAGGGCCGACGAAACGTTATTCGACTATAAAACGTGAATTATACGGACCAAATATTATGTATAATTATATTATATAACATCATAGGAATTAATATTTTTGTATTCCAATAATAGATACACATTACTGCTCTTATGACGTCATCTACGATCGGATATTTCCGGTATTTGACGCCATGGAGACAACCTGTAATTGAGTCCAGACGACCAATTGCGTATTGGTAATTTTTTTTCATTAGTCACTTGCATGTTGTAATATCCGACTATATAAAATCAGACCTATTGTTTTAATGTTTTTTTTTAATGGGATTTTAACCTGACGTATTTTATGATATTAATGTTTTCGTGTGTTTTAGATTTAATTAGATTTTTATTGTTCTAGCCTATAAATTATTGAATGAGTACAAACGTTAATTTTGTAATAAGTATTAAATGAGTATATGATTTGTTTATAAAAAAAGGTTTCTGGTATAAATCAACCGAATATTACAATAAGTTACAAACTAAGTTTTGTTTTATATTTGGGTGTGGTGACCTGATACAAATTACTTTGAATATATGTCGCAAATGTTTATGAGAAATGTGAAGTTTGAATATTACGGAAGCAACTGGTCCATAGTTTTTTTTTTTCCGAGACACAATAAAAAATGTATGTCGTGTAGAATTTTTCTCTGCACGCATAATATTGTGTATTTTAATAAAACATCAAGTACAAATAATGGTAAATTTATCGGCCATCGGTAATAAAAATAATATTACTAAGCGGTCGAGTAGGGGTACTCTTCTCGGAATCGTTTCATCATGGTATATTCTATGCTGGCAAAGGTCCCGGATCGTCGTGAAACGAATAACGAACAAACGAGTGGCCAACACACATATTATAATGCACTATATAATACTTTGATATACGGAGGTAGATACCCGATATGTGGTGAATATTGATTTGGGGGTGAGATGGGAAAAAAAACCATACAAAACTATGCAGACGTAGACTCCGGGAAACAACCCCAAATTATAATAATAATAATAATAATAATAGTACATTACGTTATAATAGTACGTGTTCATGTTTGATAATAATAAGACAGGAGAGTTACGACATCGGGATTTAACTCGGGGATGACATTTTGAACATCGGACGAGTGCGAATTTTTAAGTTCTCACTCGAATTTCACGTGAAACATTATATGGTCGGCAAATATTTGAAGACAACCGTTTGAAGTTGACTTACAATTGCTACAACGGCGATGGTGATTATGGGTCACATACCACCCCTGATACCGACCCATTCACGAGTGTTGATTGTTCTCTCTTAGGAGTTTCCGAAGACCGTCTCGCGCAATAATAGAGGTATTGTTTTTCATCGGTTTGAAACTGTCTGAAATTTTTTTTACCCTTTGGGTAAGCCATGCGTATGGTTTTTATTGGATAAAATCATGTGAATTTATGGCGCGATATCATTAAACGCATTGCTTTATACGGAGGTCGACAGATCGAGTTTGATCGGGCAAAATGTTTACGAAGTTAATAACTAAAATTTAAAACTTTTTGCGATACGTTGAGCTCCAATATAAAAGAAATCAAAAATAAATTGTCTAATTGAACTGTTCAAACGTTCCAAAATGTAATTCGAAATCAAATCCATTTTTGTTTTAAATTTAGTATTTAACAAATCTGTGATTACGTACGAAGTTGAGAATAATTAGAAGGAAATTATAAACTAAAAACTATATTATATGTAGGTGGGTACGGTTAAAATGAGTGTTGTCACTACAGCCTTGGTCGTTATTGCGTGCATTTAAATACGAATCTGCTGTCGTTATCGCTGTAATTTTGAATATACTTTGTAAAAATGGTGTAACCTTAGGTTATTTAATATTTTCGTAAAATTTTTCAAAGACCGAGGTTCTAGATTGTTCCACCGAAAACCCCTAAGTTAAGTGCCACGCATGTGTTTTACGTAAGTATACTAGTTTCGGTGTACGGAGAAAGCCTTATACCATTGCTTGCGGAAAACGTGTATAAATTAACGTACATAGTATGGGCTTTAATAATTGTCTGACGGTAGATAAAATACAACGTTTGGGGGTGGAACCGAAAGGATGGGGGTTGGCTAGGTGGTGTAGAGAAGCAAAGGTCCTGGTACGAGAAAGGCACGGCATTTGTTTGAAATCCTTTTGCACACGCACGCACGCACACACGCACGGACGCGGATCGGCTGTAAAGGTAAGAGGGAGGGGGTAGGGGTGCGTCATTTGTGTCTATTTGTTTTCTGGAGGACCGTTTGGACAAAATAATTATTACAGCCAAAACTGAAACGCGTGCCGTACTCGTGAATATTTTAATATTTTTACGATTAAAACCATTGAAAACTGTCTAAATATAACAGTACCAACGCGGGCTCGCATTTACATATTATAATAATAATAATAAACCAACATAAATATTCAACTCTGCAGCGCAGTGTTGTGCGTAATGTGCATACGAATTGTTTTTCGCCCAACAATATGATCGAAAAATTCGTATTATTACGTATTAAAATAATTATCAGTCCGATACTTGTGAAGTTATTAATACGATCCATTTTTTGAACACAGAAATACAAATTTAACATTTATTAAGTATTATTTAATTCAGTAATTTGAGGAAATAATTTTAGTTTATAATTTCAAAATTATAAACAAAAAGGAACATGACAAGTTTATTAATTATAAGAACAGTAAAAACGTAGTTAAAAACTCTTTAAGAACTGTTTTTTAAGAAGTCAATATTGTATTCAATCTAATCTTTAGTTTAAAGAAAGTATGCAGACAATAAATTGACATTTCTGTTTGTTTGCGTAATATATATTTTTATTTATTTGATATTGTGTAGAATTGTGTCGAGTCTTAAACCTTGGAAAATTTATTATTTTAAATATTGCATATTATTTTCAGAATTGTCAAATAGAAATTTAGATAACGTAGGAAGTACCTAATTTATACAGACACACACACCTACACATAAATACATATTTGAATCTATAAAAATGTTACAAGTAATGACATACTTTACAGTTTTTGAAGTGTAAGTTCCTTTTTTTTTCTATAATGAGTAAGTCAGATGAACAATTTTAAGATGACTTTTATATTAAGAATAGGGAATATAAGTTCCCGTTAAAATAAACTTTAACTTAAGTACATATTTTATCAAAGGATTAACTTCATATAAAATGATTTACAACCAAAAGTTAAATTAATTATTTCAACATAAAATGATATAAATAAGTTAATTATTCAAACCATTGATATATTCATGAATTATTGTTTTGTCTCAAAAATATTATAGTTAGAAAGTCCGAATCGTTAAGTGCACAGATATTGTTTAGTTTTAAACTATAACTAACATTAATTTGTTTTTTTATAGCAAATAAATGAAAACTTTTTTATTTCTTGTTAAGAATGCACACATACAATTACAAATGTAATTATTTTTGAAATATTTATGTCATTCAAGACACCATGCAAACGGATTTGAAAGCTATTTAAAGTTATTTAAAGTTTGGGTAAGCGATTGTGTTGGGCAACGCCGAAGTAATTATAATATATATATAATATATATGGTCTTCTAAACTATGTCTTTTGGCTCGAATTCACTAGAAAGCATGCCAAAAATCGGAAACGGAGTTATCATCCGAAAATGATCGAGAGATTGCATATTTTTTTTAAATCGGCAAATGGATATTGTGTATTACAGTTGGCGAACATCGGGTAATTACCGAGTAAAATGATTAGATTCCGCTCAAAATGGTATGATTAATATATTATTAAATAGTATTTCGTATTGAGAATTCAAATATTTATATCGAATTATCAAATCGAGTAATAACGTTTAGATCAGTTAGTATTTTGTCGAAATGTTTTCGTTCTCCATACAAATAAGTACCCACCTACTTACAATTGAACCACAAGCATTGTGATATAAGTACCAGTATTACCAGACGATTAGAATAAATTATGACAAATAAATTAATATGTCACCGTAGAAATCGATAACACAATAGTAAGTATAGTAAAAATAAGGCGTCATATTAATATTGAAAATTAATCCAAAAAATAAGTTTTTTAAAACGACACTCACTTTTTATAGGCTAGAAAATAATCAATTGTTTAAAAACACAGTTTTCGAGTTTGGGTATATATACGAATATTCCAAAAACCAGAATTTCTATGGATGTTACAGTACAGGATATTATTACGGGGGTTAGGACACGTCTTGAAAAATTATTACTCTATGTATAAATATATTATAATGTACGGAGCGTCGTAATGTCATGTATTTCACTAGTTCAAAAAACTACACACAAAAGTTCAAGGGATAGTGCGTCATAATAATAATATACTCATAAACTATATTATGAACTGTTGTTTTTTATGATTTTTTGACAAATTCCATGCACTACCAAGGTTATAAATGGCACGATAAAGGTATATTTAATTTTTCTTGGTCTTTCTTGACGAATTTCTAGAATTACACCGTACGACAAAAAATTAATGTGAGTTTTGAAAAAAAATTTAATTTTGACGCTCACTGTTGCATATATTATATTATAATATGGACACTTTATTACTATCTTTGAGATGAGGTTCACCATCAGCATTTGTCCCCCTTCATCATAACACAGTGTATATTCTATACTGTATTAAACTATATATTATTTGTCTATTTATTAAATAAATGAATTGATTTACAACCAATAACATAATGCCTAAAAAGTAGACTTTACTATACTATAATATAAGCTACCAGTCTGCTTTTTATTTGTTTGAATGAAAATTCTCCTCTCTCTGTACTGTATAAAAACCACTTGCCCGGTCAGTTATTGTGATTAATGTGACATTTCGAGTGACCAGTTTATAAAGGTATCGTGGCCTTTTGAAACTAATTACTTCTTTTTTGAAATTAAATAATATCGACACACGAGAGATGTAGATAACGGAGCACAAACGAAAAGAAAAAAACCCGTTTCGACAGTGGGACATTTATTTTTCGTTATATTAAGGCTATATACGTGAGCGTGACCGGAAGAGGATATCCGTTTCGACAATGGGTCGCCGCTCGCATTGTGTCCGGGAAATTAGGTCCGCGGAGTGCGAACGAATAGGGTCACCGGGGTGTGATTTAAGAATCAAATCTTTTCAAAATCGCCTCCTTTTCCTTTTATTTTTTTGGCATCGTCACAAAGAGGTCCACTTGACAACGACAGCGACGGTGTTCGCAGAAAAAAATACATACATGTGTGCACAACTTTATCTCACATATGCGCAGGCGCACGGTCTGTCCCTTAGTCATCGCCTCCGTCACCGAAAAAGTTTGGAAACTTTTCAATTTGGTTAAGTGACTTGTACCGAACCCTTTGGTGAAAACTTCGCTCCGTTATTCCATCACCTGTTTTGGCTCTGCCACCCCTCCAACCTCTTTGTACCAAAGACCCTCAACGCCTCCTACCACGTTCACTATTCTCTGATTCCACTGACCATGTTAAGAGTTCCAGTGGACATATCGATGTCAACAATAGTTTCCAACGTTTGCTGTTGTTGAAACCACTCAAAGGCCAGTATTGGTTCTATGACATGCGATATTGGGAGAGAGAGATCAACGATATAATGTATCATTTTCATCAAAACTATAGTATAATATGGCAATATTCATGGTCAGCCAAGAAGGTTTGACGTTTTCGAAAATTTCAAAATAGATTATTCAAATAAGTACATTATGCAGTTTTAAAGACAGGAAAATTACAAAAAAAAAATTTAATTCAAGAACAAAAATATAGTATAAAGGGTGGCCATTTGAATATTTATCGGGATTTGTATTTGAAAACTTTAGTTTCGAGCATAATTTCACGAAGACAAATCTGGGGATCGAGTGGACCACTAACAAATTAAGTGGCACGGAAAATGTTTCCTCATAAAAGCCTTGGATGCTCTATATGCAGGCCTACCAATTTCCTTACCACCGAATCTCAATTACCTGCCAAGTTTAATATTATGTCAACCGATTCAAAACACAAGTCCCAGCGCCCTATGTTATTTCCAATCCAAAAACATCACACCTCCCCTTGGCCAATATCGTGATATACTGCCAAATTTCATCAAGTTTTCGTTTTACTGTATTAAACATTCTGACAACTTAATCATTTTTATTACCATGTGGACGAGATTTTTAAAAACGGAGTGAAATGTATTTATTTTTTTATTTACTGGGACGGTGTAAACACCATTGTCTTACTGGATAATAAAACCGAGAAAAGTTAATAGCTTCGCGGTGGTTACAGGATGTATTGCGTGTATAACAATATTTTTATAATTTAGTATAATGTTTGTTACGTACGCCACGAACACGAGAATGTAAAAAATTAATGTTATTTGTCTTTCGTCGTCCTCGTTCTATATTCAAGAATTAAAACCATAAAAATAACTATATTTAAACCACAGCAGGTATAATGGGAGTGGTAATAGTTTTTTTTTTTATTGGACTATTAGCTGATAAGAAACGAGTACATAATAATAATGTACAATAGGTACATATTATTTCAAGGTAACACGAATTCCGACAGTACACAGCGATAAGATGAAAAATGTTTATATTTTATATTATTATACGATGATGGCCTTGTTTCAGGGTTTTGGCAAGATATTAAATTTTCGTTGATTTACGGTTCATCAGTGCAGAAAGTCGGTCCCATTGGGACTTGGTATGAAAACACATTTTTGTGTAGCAGACGTAACAATATTAGTTGTTAACGGAGTAGACATATTCTACATATATGTATGTATACTAAACTTATATAGCGTTTTCGGAAAATTCTCCAACAGTTTGGAAAAGGCGAATACAGCTAGTTTAGGCGGTGTATAAATATAATATAAGTGTTTTAAAAATGGTTGAAAAAAATAAATCTGTGAAAATCATTTTAACGGTATTAAAATATATTTGAGTACGTTCTATATTGTACGGAATAATCGAAAGAAATCGTAGCAACATATTTTTAGTGTTCAATATTCTAACTTTATTGCGAATCTGAAAATGACTATCATCTCTATATTAGACAGTTATGATTGTGCGACGCAACCATACAATATCATCTAAAACCCTCTATATCATAGTTAAACAATACGTTAACAGCGCAATATTATCGACAGTGGTAAACATCCGCAAAAAAAATGTCAAACCGAAATACAAGGATTTATAAAGTGTTTGGTCACGTGATATTATTATTCATACGAGTGCATAATATAGTAGTATGTTTACCGGGAAAAATGTGAGGTAATTCGTTTCGAAATGTGCATCGACACAGCGATCGTGGTGTAATGGGTCGGACGCATTAAACTCGGTAAATCAACAACAGAGACCGAAAGTGAATTTTCTCATCATTCATTGGTTGTTCAAAAACAATTGATTTCAACAAAAATATGAAAGTATTATTGTTAATAGATTATTTGCTTACTCATCTGCATAAGAATAATAATTATTCAATATTTTTCAACTGAATAATCTTTAAAAAAAAAAACATTATTTTTTTATGAATAATAATTTATTACAAGTTGACTAAATTTGAAATGATTATTCAACAAATAATTGCTTCGCATACAAAAGAATATTATTACAATGAGCGAAGTCGAAGAACAATGAAAGGCGATACGAATGGCCAGTGTTACTTGGGTGGGAAACATACAACAATATGTTATACTATTACGTATGAATCTTCACTTTGTTGGCGGTTATGAATATCATTATGTCTCAATAAAAACGATGGTTTGAGTGCTTTTCAATAAAAAATATGATGTTGGACAACCCGAAGTATAGGTACTCTGGGACAATATAGCGAGCTGATACTTAAAGTTTCAAACACAATAGTATACAATAACATAATAGCATTGATTCGTTTTTTTTTCGTCGACGTAATATTAATAATAATAACAATAAACGGCATATATTTTATCAATCGATGACGGTGATATGATTAGCTTTTTGTTTAATTTCCGTATCTATATTCGAAGGTAAAGATGACTTTATAAAAATGCGTAATCTTTGTTTTAGAACAATTTTTACTGAATATAGTTACTAGGTAATAATATACAGAGTGATTCGGTGGTTCACTAACCGTGCTCAACCCCATTTTTCTTTAAATATTGAACTCATTTTAATTTTTATTTTTGGAATTTCTAAAATAATAAAACATTTTTTTATATTAAATATTATAATTATCTTAGATCCATATACTTTTCGTATCATTAAAAAAGTATTTTGTTAGAGATTTGTACTTACTAAAAAGTATTAAAATTTAATATACTGTCTCTGCAGACACAGAGATGATGTGGCGGAATCTAAAATCTTCACATCCACGTAACGACTTCTATCATACGTATACGATGACGAAAACCATTAACTTGTCCAAAAAGTGATGATTTATTAACGCGCATAAATTTGTATAGTTAATTGTACCGTGCCGATAATAATAACATATACCTACATATTACGTATCGTTGTTATTGTTATTATACTACCAAACGTGGTAGATGGGTAGATATTTCGAATTGAAGTTCAGTGTGATATCATTGGTGGTGGGGGAGGGGGGGGGAGGAATTGGTTGTGACGACCAACAAACTCGTGTAAACAGCCATTTCTCGGCCACCGTCGCGTACATATTTTGAATAATAATGCAATTTATTTTTTGTGTTATGTAAAATAATATGCGTGTATACGTTGTACCTATATAATACCTATACGTTATATTAATCAGCCTGTGTTCGATTTTGCTCGCCAAAAGTATAGTTATTATAATATTATGGCCTGGCAAAACAAACACCACGGCGATCACGGACCACCGACTATATACGAACGTTTCGCGTCGTAAATCGTCGACGCTCGAAAACGTGCGTTTCCGAAATTTGTCGGCTGATTATCGTTAACATTCCGTTGGTTTATTTTTTTTTTTTTTGAAATCTCTCCGGACACCGATCGACGGCAATTAAAATCCGGTTGCAGTGGTCGCGGTGGTCGTGGGTCTATTTACGGTAATCGCGGAGACACGACATACCGCACATTGCAGTAATAAAATATTATAACGTCATTGTGTTGGCCGCCGGTTCGGGCCGGCGGCATCCGATAATATTCTAAAAACGTTCATGTCGGAGCAGACACTCACTGTTCTTTTTGTAGAGCAAGATTTCGAACTGGTCGTTGTAGTGGCTCTCCAACACTTCGTCTATCCTGCATATCGTCTCCTTGTCCGTGAGATCTCCGTACATGAATGAGCATCGGCATGACTTTTGCATCACCTATATGTACGGCGACGGGGGAAAAAAAAAAACAAAACCCGACCGGTCGATTGGTTAGTATTTTAGGGGGAAAAAATTAATTATTCATCGACGTGGGAGTATAATAGTACAAGGTTCGTGGAAAACTCCACTCCGTTGTAATTATTATCAAATCGTCACCAGTCGACGAGAGTGAGTGAAATAGTGTGTAGGGCGTATCGTAAAAGTATACTCACCTCCGCCCGATTATATCCGGAAATCTTGCAGAACGACTCGTTGCAGTAGACAATCGGAAAGTCGACAATCTGAGCGTTGGCCAAAAGGAAACTGCTGTCTGCTGTAAGAGAAAACAAAACCGTTTTAAGAATCATATCCATTTTGAATAGTTAATAGTATTTATAGTAACATAAGAGACTGTGTTGCGTTTTGTTTTTATTTTTCAACATTAAACCTAAGCACTATACTAGTAGTTAGTACCAAATGCACATTTAAATTTTTTTGGTTGTAAATTTAAAATATAATAATTGGCTATAAAATATAATAATATTGTTATATTTGGACGTTATTTTGCCGAAAATACGGAAAAATCTAAAAATATAGAACATTATAATAACGGTGTATTGTATAACTTAGTTAATTAATTAATTCCGTAATGCACGTCGTACCACGCGCACAATTAGATAGGCGATGTTTTTTTTTCTTGAGGGTTGTACCTACCGAAAAATTAATTCAAAATGCACATTAATTTTAGAGATAGGTAACCATTAAAAATTATAAACTCGTAAGTGCGCATGAAATATAATAACTACTAACTAACAATGTAGCAGGTACTGGAGTACCACCAGAAATGTATAATAAATTATGAACCTATCATGAGACAAAATTTTGTCAAATTGGAATTGTTTAAATCTTAACTTTCAAGAAATTTTTTTTTAATATTATACAATAATAGTAAACTACTAACATATAACAAAATGCTAATTCGTATTTCTTATAGGTATTAATATCTAATTGCTGTATAGGTTAGTAGGTGTAAGAAGAGCATTGGAGTGCATTTTAATCGGTATTATTTTAATTTTATAATAGTGAATTAATAAGTAGACATTTAATACTCGATATTGATTTAGATACTTGAGTTTAATACACCTATATACTATATTATACGACTCAAGATCATATTTATTTATTTTATGATGTTGTAATGCATGTATAGTATTAAGTAAAATAAAACTGCATGATATGTTATGCAATGTTTTATATTTGTTGTGATTATGAAAATAAATGTATGGCTAATTGGACGTATTACATTATCAACTAATTTTCGACCTGTGTCTTTTCGAGGCCATTTCACTTGGCCTATAGCATATGCCTATTCCCAACGCCCATAGAATCCAATTATTCTTTTAAAAAAAGAGTTTAAAGGGTTAATATTTAAAAGGTAGAAACTAGAAATTTAAAAAGTAAAAACAATGTTAAATGTTAAGTACATCCTGATAGACGATAAGTAATTATAGTTAAATATTGCGATGAATGTTGAATTATTGGTAGCTAAATGTCCATAGTGTTTTAATTGTATTGTTATCATGTTGCAAGTTCACGTGTCATAATATTTAAATTAAAAAACTAAAAGTCTTAAAAATATTATTCAATTTTAATTTGTTGTATCGTCTATTTTCTTCTACTGTAGGCGACAAACAATAATTTTAAGGGTTATAATGCACTAATAATTACTATCGTTTAATCTTATTATTAGAATATTATAATAGTAACGTGTTGAGCACATTTTACTAAATTTGATACCACGAACTACTACTATATGCGCAGAATATTACGTAGGTATAATAGGTGTACTACCTAGGTAACTCATTAATACATATCTACCATGGTTCTAGTACACTCTAAGTAAGCACATTAAGTCCAATTCACTCCTTGTCTCTGGCATATATGTCTTGCATCAAGTTCGCGTGTATCTACAAAATGTTTCATCATTAGTACTAGAAACACGCAAGCAATGTGTATCGCACGATATTAGTGTACATTCTATCGTTGATGCCTATTATAAATTATTTTGCGTGTACATTTCATTTTTCCAACAATATCGCGCGGTTGTGGATCAAAACTACCCAATGCTAAATTATTATTTATAGTCAGACTTGAAGCCCCCATGATTTCGATTCAACTTTCATTCCCATGTCATGGAAGATTCGATACGTACCAAATATTTCCAAGTTAAATAATAAATATTTCTTCATCTACAACACAGCGGTTCGAGTACAAAAATCGCTTTTACGGCCCACTGGCCAACGGATATAATTATTATTTCTATTTTAAAAATATTGTGAACCAATCGTTCTTAAGGAATTCAATGTGAATAATTTTCGAAGTTTGTTCGTGGGTAGTTATATCGTGGCACGCACACACTACTAATCTGTAGTCACTAAAAATCGTTTATTTTGGTCCATCGTAGCGAAAAAAAATCATATAATGCGATGATAAATCTGCGTGCATAATACTTACATATATTTATATGAAGTAAACTCGAAATTGGTCATTCCGATTTTTAAGTTTTTTTTTCTACTCTGTGTGCTAATATTCTTGGATGTTTATAAATTATTTAATATTTACAATTTTAAATACAATTAAAGGAAAATATATCGTCTCTAAAAATCAACATAACAAAAAATTGCACTTTATCGGTAAGAAGTACGACAAAAGACAATATTTCGTAACGAAAAACGGTTGTGATCCTATAGAGATTTCAGATTTCAATTAAAAACATTCTCGACGGCTGCAATAATAACCATTGAAAACGCTATCCCATCGAAACGCGATATTAGGTACTGATATGCGTAATAATATTATCAATATTAATATTTTAACCGGCGGTGGAGATCGACGGTGCC